CTTGATGGAGCCTTGATTCTCTCCGGAGATCATGCAGGAAATAGTAGTTTTACTTAGCAATGCTTAGTGTTACCTATTATTGATGTATTACAATCCATCCGAAGTTGTCCCAATTAGGTATAGCTCCTGTACCCCTGTGAAACTTTGATTGGTGTTATTCCTATTCAATTTTTAAAAGCCAATGACATAAATTATATCTCACCTTCGGCACAAAATTCTGCCATATAAATTTTCTGAAAAGGAAATTTAATTGATACAAAGGGTTTGATCTACGTCAGTATGTGAAAACTTTATAAATATTCTACTTTTCATTTTTTTTTTTTTTTTTTGCTTCGGGTTCGGTTAATCATTTTTTAAGTTGTAAAAAAAAAAAAAATTTTAAAAGTATGATATAATTTTTTTTTTTTTTTCTTTTTTTTTTCTTAATTTAACATTATGGCTCATGATTATTATTATAAAGATAAATTTCGTTTAAATGCAAAACCCAAGACTAGTAAATTAATTTTGACAGAAAAACAACGTAATCAATTAAATTATTTATTCACCATATCGGATTCTCCTGGCAACGAAATTTTTACCACGGAAATTTGGAATGAGTCTGCTGAAGATCAAAAGAATGCAAAGGAATTTATAATTTATCAAGCAATTCCCGTTGATTTGGTTGATCCAACAAATTCTGCGAATAGAGATCCAGCAAACAGATGGAAGATACGTTGGAGTGATAAAAAAAATGGAGCTACCCTTTATCAATGTAGTTGTGGTTCCGATATGCAAGCTGCTAGTAAGACTCCTGTACAAAAACAGAGGCCCGTCAGACAATTATATGAATTTAATGGTTGCTTGGCCTTTGTGAGATTGGAAATTGATGTTGATAAAAAAGTTTTTAAAAGGGTTCATGGTTATTTGGTTCATTCGGAAGCATGTCATCGTGCTTTGCCAAAGAAAAATGCTCCGAAAATTTCGATCAATTGTGATATTAGAGATATGACCGAATTATTAATTAGAACAAATGCTTCAACCAATGATATATTGTCGCTTAATCAACAACTTGTGATTTATCAATTGGGTGGAAGATTAATATTAAGAAATGATTTAAAAGGTAAAGATGAACATTTCGTAATAACAGCATTTGACGTCAAAGATGCTAGGCGTTGGATTAAAAGTAATCCTCAACCTCAATGGGATTTTGATGCTGATCGTTCCGTTGAGCATAATTTACGAGAATTATTCGGTCCAAACTCCTCGGACGTGGATTTAAGAGACGCTACTATACATTATAAACCAAGGGATAATCGTTACGATTATACACTTTTGATATTGGCGTCGGAAGAACAACGTTTGCAGGCATGGAAGTATGGTCATCAAAAATATATCGTATTAGATGGAACTTTCCAGACCGGAAGCAGAAAATTACAGATGTATGTCATCATGGTTATTGATGAATACAAAAGAGGAGTGCCAATCGGTTATCTTTTATTCTCAAGGCCTTGTCACACGGATTTAATGGTAGTCTCTAATCACGAATATGGAATACTGAGACATCTATTGGAAACGTATAAAAATGTCTTGAGTCAAGAAGCTGGTGAATCATTCGCTCCCAAGGTAACATCTTTTTTTTTTTTTTTTAAAAAAAAAAAAAAATTTCTTATCAAAAAATAATATATATATTTTTTTAACAGGTTGCTATAATTGATTTTGGTTTTAAAGAACGACTTGCGTGTTCCGAAGTTTGGCCCTATATTCATCTTGTGTTTTCACCTTCTCAAGTGCATCAGTGTTGGACAAATAAAATAGATCAGTTATTGGTTAACGTTGGGGATCATGAACTTACAAGAAATCGTACAGAGATGAAGAAATTTCTAAACGATATGATAGCTGAGTACGTTTATACCTTTATTTTTTTTTTCATTTTGTCAGAACTCAAGGTTATAATTTGATGATAATAAGTTTTTAACCCTTTCAACAGACTTCAACAATGTACAAACGAACATGAAATTCGAATGAAAATTGAAGAAACGGAAAAATTCATAAAGGTGACAATCATAACGTTTATTTATTATTAGTTTTTTTATTCTAATGTCAGCTTTGTTATTCTTAGGATCGGTATAAGAATTGTGTGATAAATGCAAAGATATATGATGGACAATTGGAATTCATCACGTATTTTAAAAAAGATTGGGTGAATGAATTAATGCATATGTGGACATTTTATGGCAGGAAAAAAGCGGCAGATATACTAGCAATCGATGTCAATGCTATGCCGTGGACAACGGATTACCTGGAAGGTTTCAGAAGACAGTTCAATTCAAAACGTATACTAAGATTTCAACGAAAAGGGCACGTTTTACGATTAGATGCCTTGGGCGTTATGTTGGTCAAATGCATAACGCCGATTTGTAATATTCAACGCGATCTCTGGAATAACATTGATGATATACTGAACAGAAAATCACAATCACAAGGGGAAGAAGAATTTGAAGAAGGCGTCATAAGAGCTTTGTTTGATCATTATATCAATACCATTGCATTTGATGATTTAGATCCACGAAAGGAAGAGGAAGCAAATTTATTTTTAATTAATGAAAAAATTAAATTCATTGAATTTAATGGACAATATCTTTTCGTTAAAATTCAATGCGATATAAAGAATCCAGAATATGTTCCCGATAATAAAAATATGGATTATTATATTGTTTGTCTTGCACCATTCATAAGTTGTCATTGTTTTAATTTCCTCCTTCGTGGAGGTGCTTGTTCTCATATACGAGCGGCCATCAAAGTCGTTAATTGGATGCGACTAGAACCGAGAACAAGGATCTATTTTAATAATTTAGAGCACTGGGAAATGCCTCACATTCAATTAGATTCGCGCATAGAGGCACTGAAAGGGTTGCACAAGCAAAATCATAGGAAGGTATTTCCGTTTCAATCAGATGATCCTATAGATGATGAGAATTGCTCCGATAGTGAAGATGAGGATGTTGACCCCTTTGATCCCCGTATGAACTTTTTGACAGGGTTTGATAAATGGACATTTGGAGTGGGGACAAGTTCAACGCCCATTTCAGCACTGACTGAAGGATCCTCAACACGAAATCCAATTGCTATCAACGATACAGGTTCAACACAGTCTATAACCAATTCTTTAATAGGCTCAACGGCAAGAGAGAGGATGATTCAATCTTGGAACAACGACCTATCGCTTGCTACAAATAGATTAATAGGAAACATGGACGATTTAATAACGGTCTTTAAAAAGCTTGATCAAAATCAATCAAACGTTCCCGATGGAATATCAGAAGAGTTGAAAGTTCTGGATAATGAATTACTCACGAGATTAAATACGTTAATACAATGCGAAAAATCAAAAGAATTAATGACAACTTTGTGGCAGATAAGACAAAAATTTGATCCCACCACAAATAAGAGCGATGACTTGCCAAAAAATTAAGATTTACGCGCGGTATATTAAATAATACATAAAAAGTGATCTACTAATAGACTTTATAGAAACAAATAAAGTTTCTACCTTTTTTTAAGGCATTAAAATCAAATTTATTTTTCTCTTAGAATTAAGCGTTAAATTTCTTTAATAAATTTTTTTTAAACTTATTTACGTAATTCCGAAAATAAAATATCTTGTTTATGAACTCGTTATCAATATGCGATCATTGCCGTGCTTTTCTGTATATAGTATAATATACGGCAATTATAGAATATTGATACATGCACCTTTTTTTTGCCCCCCCCCCAAAAAAATAATAATAATAATAAAAATATATATATAAAATATAAAATATAAAATAAAACAAAAAAAAATTCATTTTTTTTTTTATTTTTTTTTTTTTTTTTTTTAAAAAAAAAAAAAATGATTTCAACAAAAAACTGTCGCAAATCTGAAGAAAATTCTGAAGAGGAGAGTTTTCTTGCACCATTAAGTAATAATGATATTGCTAAAAGAAATTCTTTTACAAATGATAACGACATTGATGACCTTACACTAGAACAAAATGAAGGCCTTGATAATATTATTTCAAAAATTGGAATGGGAAGATTTCAAAGACGATTATTAGTACTTTGTGGATTTGGATGGTTTTCGGATGCCGTATGTGATTGATTTATTGGTTTATTTTTTTTTTTTTTATAAATTTATAAAATGTAAATTTACTGATAGCTTTTTAAAATCATTTAGTTGTGGATATTGGTATGATATTCAAGAGAGTTTAATGTATGATTTCTTAAACATTTCTCAAACTTTTTATCATAAATCTAGTGTGTAGCTGTAATATTACCTCGGGTTCAAGGTGTTTAAAATATTTTAAATAGAGTATTCATCACTTCTCAATTCTAATCTTCCTTTTTTTTTTGAAAAAAAAATAAAGTTCACTTTCAAGTACCAAATTCAATTATCGGATTACTTTCAAGTTCACAATATTTTGGAATGATGTTTGGAGCAGTATTTTGGGGAATATTTTCAGATACTTATGGACGTAAGCAGGCCTTTAGTTGGACTTTGGGAGTAACAGTATTCTTTGGTTTTTGCGCAAGTTTATCTCAAAGTTTTGGTCAATTATGTTTTATGTTTGCCATGTTGGGCTTTGGCGTTGGAGGAAATTTACCAGTAGATGGTATATACAATAAACCTTTTCCATTATTCACGTAAGAATATCCGTTGAAATCCTTTCTTATTCGTGATATTTATTAATCGATTAGGAGCGATATTTTTGGAATTTGTACCAAAAGAGAAACAATATCTTCTTACATTTTCGTCAGTCTTTTTCGAAATTGGAGCCGTATTTGCATCTTTTATTGGATATCTAATCTTACCTTCAAACAGTTGTCTTGGAGATGAAGTCAAAATAGCAACCTGTGATGTCTCTAAAGAAAATAATGGTTGGAGATACGTAATCGTGGTACTCGGGATATGCGTAAGATTTATTTTTTTTTTTTTCCTAAATCAAATGAATTTAGTTATCTTTGAACTCATGCTTTTCATTTTTGTTTCTAGATACTAGTCATGTTTATTCTTAGAATTCTGTTCTTTAGACTTTTAGAATCGCCAAAATTTTTAATCTCGCAAAACCGACAACAGGAAGCAATTCATGTGTATAAAGAAATTGCAAGAATTAATGGAAATGAAAATGAACTCGAAATTCAACTTGATGATTCATTATTCACCAATCAGATTTCACTTCTTTCATCGGATACCAAGATTTGTAAATCCAGTCACATGCTATTACATTTTAGACAAAAATTTGTTTCAAAATTTAAAGATATAGAACATTTGTTCAGTAAAAAATTGTTGACTACGACATTAATTGTATGGAGCTCGTGGGGATTATTGTCGTTTGCTAGTTTAATGTTTATTCTTTATCTACCAAAGTACCTTGAAGGTTTAGAAGAAAATAAGTTGGGAGATAAAGGTAATAATGATGGTAGTGAAATAATTAGAGATGGATTGAAAAATTTTATAATTTATTCAGCATGGGGAATTCTCGGTGCAATAATGTCTTCTTACTTGGTTGAAACTACCTTGGGTAGAAAAGGTACCATGATTTTAGGTGCGATCGGAACTTCTATATCAATATGTTTATTTGCTAATTTTCAAGATCCTACTGCCATAATCTTATTTTCCATGATCATTGGATGTTTAAAATCTATTAATTGGGCCGTGATTTATTGTTATACGCCCGAGGTTTTTGATACTAAAGTTAGGGGAACCGCTTGTGGAATTTCTTCTGTTTTTGCTAGAATGTAAGAAACGACGATAAACGATGCGATGTCATCAAAATTAAATTGTATTTTTAACTTTTTTTTTTTTTTTGTTTACTTACAGAACCGGTATGATTTCTCCTATCGTTACCGGGAACTTAATTTCGATTGGTGTTACCGCACCTTTATATGTGACTTCTTTTGTTTTTGGCTTATTAGCAGTCTTCATATTTATGTTACCTATTGAAACTAGAGGAAGACGAGCTTAAATTTAAAGTAGAATAGCATTTTTTTTCTTTTTTTTTTTTTTTTTTTTTTATCATTATTATTAAAAATACAAATAAAAGTAAATATTCAGATCAGTTTCAGATCGGACATTTCAGAATAACCTTTTAAAAATCCGTTCAGAACCTTCATTTTTAAGGGAAGAAATTACACGTTTTTATTAGGAAGTCATATTTTTATTATTTTATTGAACTTACTTGCTAATTAACAAATACCACTTCTTCGTATTTATTCATGTCGATTACCATAAATCGCAAGCCGCCTTTAACTTGCAGGAAAAATCATTCCATTAAATCATAAGAGGAGGGAAAACCATTCTTTATAAATATAAATCAAGAACAAAGCTTCGTCATTATAATATTTATTGCAAGTGGGCTTATGGAAAATAAAAGCATGTGAATTTCATCTATAATGTGGCTAAAATCTGAAAGCTGTCGCCAATCATAAACGAATCATCTCAATGTCTGTATTTTATAAATAAAATTGGATCATGTCTTAAAGTCTTCTTTCCTATCATCCTAGGATAAATGACAATAATGGGATCCAAAAAAAGAACGGATAACAATTTCATTCAAGAAAGTTTTTCTCATTGGTCTTTCTTTTGTTTATTACAATATTCATTATTCATTATTTGTCCAATCCTTGGTAAAAAAAAAAAATAAAATAAAAATAAACTTTAATACTTTAAAAGAGACTTCCATGATATGAGTATAATATTTCCTTTCAATTCTTTCAGAAAATATAAAGATTGCAACGTATCGTAAATACCATATTCCTCTTAATACGACCATTGAATACATGTGAGTATTAACTTTTCTATTTATTACACAACAAAAAACTTTGATTTATTATTATTATTATTAATTATTATTAGGTATTTTTTCCTTATCTTTCTTCAGTTTGGTATGAGATAATAAGATTAATACGTTTTTAATTTTAATTTTTTTTTTTTTAAAAAAAAAAAAAAAATTCATATATTAATATATTATATTTATTGTTATGTAACATTTTTTTCTTTAAAATAGTTTCGTTGACCTTGATTTGCAGCTTCTGTTGTTGCATTGAAAGTAAAACATTAATAAACTGTCAAATCAGGTATTTAATAAACTTCATGATTTTTAAAAAAAAAAAAAATAATCTTTTTTCCTGGTTGAGTCTGATATATAAATGTGTCGCTATTTAGCGTCTTTGGGGCATTATGGATAATTATCCCTAGTAAGCATTCTCTTGTTTGTGTTTTTTTTTTCCTTTGAAATTTATAAACCTTTATTACACGTGCAATAGCTATCTATGTAGCCCGAACAATTCATGAATTAGGTTCGATTCCATTCTTCTGCCCAATGGATTATGATTATAAATTTTCTCAACTTCGTACTGTATGTCAAATAAGAACGGCGAATTTGGCAATTATGTGGATAACTTCGATTTCCATATTGGTTGCGTGGATTTGGACAGTGCTTCCTGAATTAATAACTCATAAAGAGGATGAGGATGACGAAAGAAGAAAAGTATAAAACGACATGTCCAGGATTAAATTTTGTTTTGTGGTACTATATTCATGTATGTATGCCACGTGTTATCAAAAAATTATTTTAATTACATAATAAATTGTGGCGTCCGGGAAATAAAGTAGGAAAAAAAAATTTTTTTTTTCCCTTACTTTTATTAAAATGTTGAAATGATGAAAACTATCACGGCACGTTTGTTCATGTGTTTTATGTGTTTTATGTGTTTGGCTCAAACTCCTTTAATCATCATTTGTGCTATATTTGGTAACAAGATATTTAAATTTCTTATTTAAACAAAAAAAAAAAAATATAAACAAGAATGAAATGATCTAGCAGATTTAACAAATATTTATCATGTTTTGTCCTTAGAATCTATGAAAATTTTTTTGCTGCTTAAATATGATCTTCCCATTAATTGGGTTATGGAACTCATCTATCTTGCTCTCACCCTTTGTCAATTTGGTAAATGGCAAGATTTTTTTTTTTTTTTGTTTTTGAGGAACAATAATTTTTTTTATAAAGAATAAATTTCCTTTGATTTTTTATTAATGACTATAGTTTCGTCATGTTTACTTGCGTGTATATATGTTCGTTTGAAAAATCTTGGGATAATAAGATGGCAGTCCAGGTTAGATTTTTTATCATCTAGATCATGGATCGTTCAGAACATTTATTATTAACTTCCTCATTATTTTTCAACGACAAAGGATTTCAACATTACTATGGTTAATGATTCCATGTAAGTCTTTTCTTTAAATGCTCACATTCAACGCCCAATTCTTAAATAATCACACAACATTTCTTATACCTATAGCCATATATACTTATTTTGCATATAATGATTTGGGTCCCAATCCCATTTTATGCCCGGCAAATTATCCATACCCTTCAAAAAAATATTATAACGTTTGCATAATCAATCTTTCTAATTTGATCTGTATGTGGTTGATGTTTTCCATTTCATTGTGTTTGGCCATACGAGATAACATTCCTGATCATAAATTAGATGAATGGCTGGGGTTTCAAAATAATGATCAATCTGATAATGCTCATAATAAAAGTTGGGAAGGTGAAGAGAAAGAAGGGAAACAACTTGAAGGTGTGGCTTGAGAAGAACTTCCTTTTGTATATTGCTCCTTTCCTGAATTTAGTCAAATTTTACTACATAAATTAAGACAATTTGGGTTCCATTGTCAAGAGATAATGACGCATCTTCCGAACATGATCACCAATTTGACAGCACACGTGATTATTTTTATGCTGCAATCTTTCAAAAAGGAACTTTTTTTCGGAGTATTTGATCTAATATTTTTTTAAACCTTACCATAAAGGTAATAGCTGATAGTGATCTTGTTTCTTACAAAAAAAAAAAAAAGATAGTGTTCTTACCAAATAAGTGTGATGCATGTAATCACGTTTATTATGTATCAGGTCGAACATGACCGATTATGGAAAGATTTGATATTTGGCGCAAACGAAACTAAGCTTTATTTGATCATTGATTAAAAATTGCATTATCTAAGATCTTCACGATAATTTAGTTCAAGTCTGTGTGTCCATTTGCATATTTAAACTTCTCATCGTTTTATGCCTTTCATTTCTCAAATTGTCAACAATTTTTTTTTTAGGATATAATTAAAAAAATAAAATGTCGTTAAAAAGGATTTTAGCATGTCCCATACTGAGTTGCGTTTTTTGCTTAATGTTTGCTGAACTTCCTTTAATTGTTATTTGTCCTACACTTGGTATGAATACCTCTCTTTTTTTTTTTTTTTTTTGGATCGCTGATTGAAGGATACCCCAAGAAACAAGATTAATTTCGCTTCAAATTGATTCTAGAATATTTCAAATTAAAATATTTTAATGAGTTTGACATTCCGTATAATCGATATGTTGAATATACGTAAGTGAAGATTGCGTCAGTTGAATTCGATTGATAAATCAATGGAATTTTTTTTTTTAATATCAACCTTCTCTTTATTTTTTTTTCTTAAAGGTATATCGGTCTTACATGCTTTCAACTTTGTAAGTAATATATATTTTTTTTTTCAAGTGGTGGCCGTGTAACATGACACGGTTTCGTCGTGGCGCAGCGAAAATCCCAACTAAAATAAAGATTCATTACAGTGTTAGCCTTGGTCGTTTGTTGCTGCTGCTGCTTCTGTGCTAGAGAAGATTTGAGCAAGGAATTCGGGTAAGAATAATGTTTGATCCCATCGAGTCATTGATTTTAAACATGATTTACCATTTATTAATTTTATCTCGATCTTTTATTTAGTTTTGCGACCGTCTTGTGGTTAAACATTCCAAGTAAGTGGGTTTCATCTTTTTTTTGTTTACCTTGAATAAAAACGTTGTTAACAATACCTAAACTTCCTTTGTTAGTCGTATACACGATTTACACGATAAACGAATTAGGGGACATCCCATTCTATTGTCCGTCAAATTATGATTATAAAGATCCAAAATTACGAACCGTGTGTCAAATTCGTTTGGCAAATTTAATATGCATGTGGTTAATGTTTTTGGGTATTTTGGTGACCGGCATCACCATGTGCATTCCAAGGGAGTATCTGATCGATTTGTTCAATGATGATGGCATCGATGAAGAATATCAAAGGTTCAATAATAGGGGAGACGGGTATCAAAGTATAAAACAAAATGATTTGAACAATAGAAACATTCTCATCATCAAACCGGATGAACCAAACAGATCTTCGGTTGGAGGGACAAATACCAACGGTTCCTCGAAGCAGCATGATAAACGTAAAGGAAAGGAGGAAACCTTTGGATTTAATAATGATGAATTACAAATATTGGCTGATGATTCAAACGATGAAAATGATAGACTTAAACATGTTGTTTAAAAGCTGGCAATGACTTGGTCAATTGAACTCTTTTTTTTTTTTTTTTTTTTTTTTTTTTCGCGTACATAAATTCTGTAACAGATAGAAAAAAATAATACCTTTTTTTTTTTCGCGCACATAAATTTTATATAGAAAAATAAATCATTTCTGCTTTTAAATTTCTTTCTTTCCCCCTTCTTTTAATTTTAATAAAGGACATTACGATTTTATTTAATTATTCATGTAATTAATTTATTTATTCATTCATTCATTCATTTATTTATTTAGTTATTATTTTTTATTATCATCATTATATTATATATTATATTATAGTATAAATTCAAAAAAAAATAAATCTGTATATCTGTAATATCTGTAATGAAAATGACACTAGGTCCAATCACCTACATGAGAAATTTCTTGGCTTTAGGTTTCTTTTCAACATAGTACTTCCTAAAAAAGTCCAACCATATCAAAACATCTTCAATAGTCGTCATTGCGCCTATGGATAAACGAACCGCGCCATATTTTTTCCCATTGAATATATCATGTTCATCACCACAAACTTTACCGTGCTAATAAAAAAAAAATAAAATAAAAAAGTTTGTTAAAGATAAAATTCAAAAAAAAATATAAGCAAATAAAAATTAAATGCATGTCTCTACCACAAAATGTTGAATGGCATCTTCAACGTCGATATCATTCCATCTTGATATACTACCAGGATTGCAAAGACCACCGGATCTAATGTGAATGTTATTCAAACTTGCCAACCTTTCAACTTCGAGATACCCAATCTCTTCACCATCTGATCGCGTTGTGTTAAAACTGAAAACACCACCTTGTTGTTTATTATCCGAAAAATCTCTGTCAGAATTCACCGAAATAACGGGTTCTCCATTCCAATGACGAAGCGATCTCATGGATCGACTAAGAAATGTTATTAAGCATTGCACATGATTTGATATATATTTATAATCTTTAAACAATTTTTCCATCGAATCCAATGCATGATCTAATGCGATGATGTTTTGGAAATTTACTGTGCCATCTTCGTAGCGTACAACCATGTCGTTGCTAAATGTTTGCCATGGTACATTATGAATGATCGTCCTAACTAAAAAAAAATGTTATTTTCCGGTTAATTATAAATTTTTTTTTTTTTTTTTAAAAAAAAGAAAAAAAAAATCCACTTACGTGTGCCACCGCCAAAGTACCCCTTCTTTAAAATTGGCGCCAATTCATTCTTTACGATCAAAGCTCCTAATCCAGTTGGGAATCCGAATATCTTGTAAAAACTAAGTATGACAAAATCTGGCGATGCGTCTTTATTAGCCAAAGAAAGTTTAGACGTTGGAACGTAAGCTGCCGCATCTAACAAGACCAGAGTTTTTGAAGTTTCCGTATTTAATTCTCTGAGTTTTTGACTCCAGTTCAAAGGAAATTTCATCCCAGAGAAATTACATTGCGCCGGATACGCGAAAAGGTTATATGTCACTTTTTCTTCTTCTTTTTTCTCATCATACTTATCATAATTTTCGAAAAAGTTTCGGTTTTTAATCATAGAATTCACCTCATCTTCCGATACAGATTGAAAGTCGGCGTCAATCTGTTCGGGGAATCTCCTCAAACCATTGATACTGTTATGAGATTCTCTTAAATATTTGTAACAACTCCTTTTCGTCCAAGGGAACATTTCTCCGACCAATTTGGCGGATGCAGTGGCATTTTGAGTGAAAATTATTGAATAATCTTTCTCATTCGTACCAAAGAATTTAAGGACTCTCTTTCGAACTCCTGCGATTCTCATTGAACTTGCTTGTGAGCTAGGTGAATTCGAATGGGGATTACCATAAAGATTATTCATTAAGTCTTCCATAAAATTCTTTACAGTACTTTTCGCAAAAACGGTTGATCCCGTATGATCAAGGTATACACAAGTGTTCAATTGTGGATATTCCTTTTCACGGATTTGATCGATTTTACCATTATATCCGTATTTTGAAGAAAATTCTTTTAAGAAGGTACGTTTCTCTCTCTCTATTCGTTTCATATTTGGTTTATACTTTGGAGTCATACTATGACCTTTCTTCTCATTAAAGGACTTCATTCTTGCGTAAAGTTATTTTTTTGTCAAAAAAAAAAAAAAAAGGGTGATGGGATAAAAAAAAAAACGACTTGATCAGTATTATTTTCCTCAAGAAAATAAGTGAATAAAGAAGACGAGAGATTTCTACCATCGTTGTATATATATGAAATTTCGTTATCCGCAGTAGCCACAAAGCTCCTTACTAAAATCAACCTTAATTTGGCATCGTATACCAAACGTGTGCCAAAATTTTTATTTTTTTTCTGATACAAGGAATCCTTACTACCTTTTTTTCTTTTCATTCTCTTTTTTTAAAATCGGGAGATTATCTCCAAAATCACGGCCATCTACAACGAAAATCTCAATCATCCAAAATTTATAATTATGATATAAAAATTTCGGAAACCGATCTTCTGACAATTTCCCCCCCCCCCTTAAACAAAAATGGGAATGTATTTTACCCCGATTTATCGTCACATTTTAGACGGGATCCAACGTTTGTCTCATGACTGCCGCGGAGAGTCCATTTTTAAATTATAAATGGTTGATTTCTAGGTTTCTTGAGTAATTTATGCACTTAATTTATGTTTATACGATAATGCATTTTCATATCTGGTTTAAATAAGTTGAGTATTTTTTTTCGCATTATCAGAAAGAGGACGACCCAATTGAATTGTTTCGAAGGGTCAGATAAAATATATATAATCACTTTCTTAATGGATAAAGCCGCATCATTTACATAGTGTAAAGTTCTTACTTTAAATCACTTATATTTAATGACTAATTAAATATCGGAGTGTGAATCTCTATTGATCAAAATACCGTAATAACCCTTATTTCAATTTGTGTTTGAAAAATATTAAAAATTCCGATATTTAGGATTTGTACAAATTACATGTGAGAATATGTTGAGAATCTTGTTGATGATTTGATATTCCAGAAGCGGAAATCCGCTTTTTGCGATAAGACAAAAAAGTAAATAATTAATTAATTTTGTGACTTTTGATTAAAAACATATTTATATTGATTTACATAAAGCAATCATTTAAATCCCAATCCCAACATTACTTCATCGTTTCATTGGAATGAAATTCCATAGAACTTATATTTATTCTCAACTCTGTAAATCCAAATTTTCCCTTGTCCAAAAATAAAAAGTAATAAGTTATTTAAAGAATAATTTCAAAGAAAATACATGTACGGTACATCATATTTAAACTTTATCAAGATGAATGTTAGAAAATTATCATTTTTTTAAAAAAAAAAAAAAATTTATTTCACATAATTTTTTAAAGAGTTATAAGTTAGAATGTAATAATAGAATCAGTAATGTAGAATTTATGAATTTAAATAAAAATGAGTCCTTTCAAGAAAAAAATTTTTTTTTCTTTTTACTTATTCTGTATGTGACGTTCAAATATTTTTACGACAAAGATTCTGAATAATATTTATAAATTTTATTTTACTTTATTTACTTGTTACTTGGGATTCCGTATTTAGTGAAAATTATGTTTAACATGAATGATAGCAAATTATCGTTAAAAAGAAATAAGACAACAAAAATAAAAAAATAAATGAAATTAACCTTCAAATTCGATATTAATTTATTTTTTATAAAATCATAATGATTTAAAGATAGCATTATGTTGCAAATTGCTTACTAAATAGTATTATGTAATACGCGAAATTTTGACTTTATTTATGGATTCTTGCAAATATTAATCAAAAGAATTGCTGCCATGAAGAATGCTCGAATCACGTTCACGCAAATCATTATAAGAATTCCAGAAGGTTAACCACCATTCGTTGAGGAATCCGTCTGGAACGTCCAAAGGTAATGGTATATTAGGAGACTCATCGACTGGTGACGTTGTTGGAAAATATCCAGATGTCAATTTATTAGCAACATTGATATATCCAAGTGTAAACAATATCATTATTTTAGCCATTTTCTTTATTCTTTTTTAAACATTACAAATTCAATATTGTTAGATACCTTTGAGTGTACCATCTTCTGCAAGCTCTGTATGTTCATGTTCCTCGATTTCATTCTCATCATTAGCGCGCTTTCCTTTGTCTTTACTCCTTTCAACGCTTTCATGATCCATTGAACTTTCCTGTGTTTCGATAACATCTCCGACATTCGTGCCCATGTTCAAATTTAACCATTCAGGAGGCCAATCGTCAAGACCAATTTCTTCGAAATAAGTTTTAGCGGTATCAGTACACCCAGTTTTTTTCAAATGATCATATACAAAAGCTTCAAGTAATCGTTTAACTCGATTACGAAATTCTTCAGGATTTTCTGGTTTTGTCATCTTTAATTGAGGTAAAGTAAATTCAAACAACTGAAATATTAAAGAAAGGATCAAATTTAAATTTTTTTTTTTTTTAAAAAAAAAAAAGAAGGTAATAGCTTTAACTCGATCTTTCACATTAAAAAATAATTAAGTCGTGTTTAGTTAATTTATAGTTTTAAATATCAATGACATATTAACATTATTTTTTTTTTTTTTTGAATTTGATAATTATAAGCCAAATTGGGCTGAGTGACATAGTGTACGTAATAGAATGTCAAATAGTTAAAAATACGGATGGATGATGTTGTATAATTATGGTTCAGTAGGTGAATAGTTAATAAACGATCAATTAAATTAAATAAATGGTTATGTTTGATGTGACTGAAATTGATTTTCGTCTGAAGTTGGAATTCAGACGAACTTCGAGTGTCTGAAATTGAGATTCCAATTTCAGACACCCTTTTTGTTATCTGAATTCCAACTTCAGACAATATGCCAAATTTTTTTTTTTTTTTTAACAATTTCGTAAATGTAAATATAGTTAACATTTAGCTATATTAGCTGAATTTAATAATTTTTTTTTCTTTTATTATTTATCATTTTATTTTTTTTTTTTTTTTTAGTTTTATTTTATTTCTATTTTATTTTTATGCAGGTTTTTTCGACCGCATCGGGTGCTGCGTCAGTTAAATAAGTGATTTTATTCATTTTTTTAAAACTTCAGACCGAAGTGAAAAAAGCAAAAATAATCTATTTTTTTCTTTTTAATTCTTTTAATTCAGCAGAAAGGAACTCCTACCTTTACGAGTTACCTGTATAATTATAATATTTTGAAGCTGAGAGGCGAATTTTAAAATAAAATTACTTAACTTTTTATAAATATTTTCAAATTTTAATTATAAAGAAAAGGAATCGTTTGTTATATAATAGAATAGTAAAAAAAATAAATAAAGAACAATTAAAAATCATAAAAATTTTATTAATTAAAATAAATTGCTTATGTACAGTACATGTAGATTATAGATACTTCATATTACTTTAATTTTAATTTATAAATATATAACTTGTATAAAATTCAGATTTTATATGAAGTTCAATTTCAGATATCCTAATTTCAGATGGCCTCGTGTCTGAAATTCAAATTCTGTCTGAAGTTCAATTTCAGATATCTCAATTTCAGACGGCCTTTTGTCTAAAATTCAGATTTTATCTGAAGTTCAATTTCAGATATCTTAATTTCAGATGGTCTCGTGTCTGAAACTCAGATTCTATCTGAAGTTTAATTTCAGATATCCCAATTTCAGACAACCCTCGTGTCTGAAATTAGAATTTAACTGAAATTAAAGAGTTTTAACATAAAGTATAAAGAATAGATTTTTTACAACTAAAAATTTCTAAGTTTTCAGAATATATATAAAAAATGAAAAAAGAAGAGGGTGTAATACAGATTACAATAATAAGATAAAGGTACTATACAATACAATAAATAAATTATTTTTTAAAAAATTATATAATTTTATATTATAATTAAAATTCAATTTCATAAAAATTTTATTATTTAAAAAATGAATTTTTATACTTAATATATTAAAATTTGAAAAAAAAGTTATATAAAATATTTAAAAATTTTATTATATTAAATAATTATTAGATTAATTTTTTAAAATTAAAAAATAAATTAAAAGTATTAATAATAAAATTTTTTAGTTTTATATTATATTAAAAATTATTCTAATTGTTTTCTTAAAAAATATAATGTATAACATCTAAAATTATTATATAATCTAGAATTTTAATTGACGATTATCATATTATTTTATCACATATATCAAATTTATTAGATACTAGAAAATAGAAACTGTTAATACGTCTGAAACATCATAAATCACATGATCATATACAGTAAAAAGTAAAAAAATAAAATAAAATAGATCACTAAAAAATGTAATACTAAAAATTTTATTACAAAAGTATGTATCTGAAAAAAAAATTAAAATAAAATAAAATGTATCTGTATCCACAATATTTGAAAATAAAATTTATTTAATAATTTTTTAATATTATTACTTAAAATTGATTGTAAAATAAAAAGTTATGTTAAAGATTTAAAATAAAATTTTGTTATACATACTGTAACGTAAAAAGGAAAAAAAACTTACAAAAATATCATCAGATGATAAATAAAAATCACATTACACCTGATCCAAAAATTTCATTAGCTATATATACATATAGACAAACATTACATGTATATTTTAGAATATGAATGGAAGTGTCCTACGCTTATGCTTCAGATAAATAATTATAAAATTAGAATTAAATTTATATAAAAATCAAAATTTGAGTTTATTTATTTTTTCAAAATAATATCTAGAAATTATTTATTAGATTTATATTTTTAATAATATATTTTATTAATTTTTTACTGATTCTTTTTCTATAAACATTTATATAACATTAATATTTTTTGCAAATTTTCTAATTATATTAAAATACTAAATTAAGATTTTTAAATATAACTCTTTATAATTCACTATAAGAATAATCATAATTTTTTTATGTAAAGTTTTTTAATATTTTTCAATAAAATTTAATTCACAATAAAATTTAAAGTAAAATACAGTAGCGGTCATAAGTATCCGACCGCCTCTAACTCCGGCTACAAGTAAGTAAATTCAAAATTTTTTTTTTATT